TTATTTGTGATGGGAGTGCCTGCGCGGGGAGCACTCGCGGCGATCGTCGCCATAAGCGCTTTCGCCGTCTATCTGAACAGCCTTAACTGCGGCTTCGTTTTCGATGACATTTCCGCGATCAAGGATAACCGGGACTTGAGACCTCACACGCCTCTGAAAAATGTCTTTTACAATGATTTTTGGGGCACTCCTATGCACAAGGTGGGTGATAGAATTGGAGGCGCTTTCGACTCCCCTCCTACCCCTCCCTTCCCTTTTACTCTTGTCTACCTTCTTGTGTATTGATCCGTTGAACTCTTCTCCTCCTTTTCCTACCTTTCGATTCGGTTCGATCCGATTCAATCTTATCAAATTTAACAGTTTGCATTCTGGAAGCGTTTCACTGGAAATATTCCACATTTTCTAATGAAACACAGACGATGTTTCCTGAAGCTAACTCGACGAGTAGTCGCACAAAAATTTTGGAATAAATACTATTTTATTTCGATATTTCACATATTAATGCATTGCACAAAATTTCATATTAAATATCAGACTTTACGATTTCGCTGTGTGAAATCGATTGACGACTGAATTACAATATTTTATTAAATTCAGTCAATAGTCTGTCTGAAGTGCGAATGAATCTCAGGAAGAGTCGTGTTAATTATCTTGCACCGTGTGTTACGATTCTAGGTACAAAGACACCTGAAAGTAATCTATTTCCGTTAGGATTTTCATTATTTTTTTCTTAAATTTCGCTTTCCGTTTTCATAAATTTAATCGTACATCGACGTTTCCGTCGATTTTCGATTCCTTCTCGGATTTTTGAAAATCCTTGGTTTTCCTTGATCATTTCCTGTAATTCTGTATCAACAAGATTAATTTCATGTGTTACACTATGTACTTACTAAATTCAGTCCAAGGGAACATTTCCAACAAGTATACACTGATTTTTGATGAAACTTATGTGAGACATAGTTCTCAAAAAAGTATTTGACATACATTTATTTTTATCAGCCAACATCCACTTTGAATGGGTGAAAATACCCTTCAAAGTTGTGGGGTGAAAGTATGTCTTTTACAATATCTCTAAAACTAGGGAGTATAGAAAACAAATTTAATTTGTTTATTTTGAAACAAATAATTTAAAAAAAATTTTTTTCTGGTTGGTTAAAAAGGTTCCCTTGTTAATTAAAATTCTTGTTTTGAAATTAGAAATTCCTGGGAAATCTTATTCTTCCTAAAATGTATGAATAGATATGCGTAAAAAAAGTACTTGTACTATGTAGAAGAAAATACAAATTTTGTTTCTTTCTTTATATAGGAGCAGTCGCACAAATCGTATAGGCCATTGTGCGTTCTCACATTTAGATGGAATTACTTAATTCATCAATTGGATCCTATGGGATACCATCTGCTTAATGTTATCCTACATGTTGGAGTATGCTTATTATATTTTAGGTTTGTTTACTTTTATGAAATATTAAACTGTAATTATATATACAATAAGTTTGCGTTTAATTGATTTTAATCAATGTTACAGGACTTGTTTGATGTTTCTGTCTGATTCGGCAACTTTTGTGTCTTCTCTTCTATTTGCTGTACATCCCATACATACAGAGGCAGTAAGTTGCCTAAACCAATATTCAAATGAATCAAATTGATCAACGTTACCTCAAATTTATGTATGAAAATATTATTTCATAGCTGTTTCTAGTCTTCATTGTACTCTTTGGCTATAGTTTTTCAATACTGTATTTAGGATCAAAGAGTTAATGTCGAATGAGTGATCCATTTGTAGTTCCTAAATTTTGTATAGATATATTATCAATGGATAATTGTGTATTAAGGTTACAGGAGTGGTGGGAAGAGCAGAAACTTTGTCGTCTTTATTTTATCTGGCAGCTTTAATCACATATACTAAATGTTGCAGAAGTAAAAGATCAACAGGTGAAAATGACTTTCATGTTTGCATTATTTTATGTATCTTTTGATAAAAATAATATGATTTATATTATAATTTTTTTACAGGATGGAAGTCCTTGATGTTATCTATGTTATTTGTTTTTACTGCAATGCTATGCAAGGAACAGGGAATAACAGCTACTGCTGTTTGCGTATTGTATGAGATTTTTGTTGTACAAAAGGTTAGTGTACACACGTGTATGCAAAATTAAACCTAATAACATTTTAATATTTAACAATGAATTATTTAATATCAAATTAAATTTCATAATTTTACAATATTATTCGTACAGGTCAGAGCACTGGATATTTTCCTGACATTAAAGGCGGCTTTTGGTGGGAAAAAAATGTCCCTTACGTGGTCTAGTGAAGGTACAAAACGTTTGACTGCCCTTACACTTGTTACATTTAGTTTACTCATACTTCGACTACATGTAATGGGCTCAAAGTTACCTGTATTTACCAGGTATCCACAAAAGATTAACTACACTTTATATATGTGGAATATTTATAGACGTAAACATTATGGGATATTATTTTGCAATTGTGTTTCAGATTTGACAATCCTGCGTCTGTGGCACCAACGCCTGCAAGGCAGCTTACATACAATTACCTCGCAGCAGTCAATTTAAGGCTGTTATTTCTTCCAAATGATTTATGCTGTGATTGGACTATGGGAACGATACCACTAATAGAAAGTTTTACGGATATTCGTAATTTTGCTACTATAGCAACTCACACAACAGTGTTAGGGTTGCTGGCAACAGCAATTTTAACACCTAATAGGCAAACTTCCATCATTCTTTTAATGGTTAGCATCGAATACGTTTAATATAGATGCCTTGATTTAATGAATGATTATTATTCTATTAACAATTTCATGTTCTATCATTGTTTAAAACAGAGTTTGGCTATGATGATACTACCATTTTTACCTGCTTCAAATCTCTTTTTCCCGGTTGGATTCGTCATCGCTGAGAGGGTATTATATGCGCCATCTATGGGATTCTGTATGCTTATTGGATATGGATGGAGTATTTTATGCGATAAAAAGTAAATTTATATATGTTAGTTTATGCTTAATATCTTACTCGCCTTTAACCATTATTTCCTTTCATTTACAGATTCAAGAAACTTATACTATTTTTACTAATAACACTTCTGGCTAGTCACTCTACAAAGACTTTTATTAGAAATTATGATTGGTTAGACGAATATTCTATATTTATGTCAGGACTGAAAGTGAATAATCGCAATGCCAAATTGTTTAATAACGTCGGGCACGCATTGGAAAGTCAAGGACAATTTAAAGAAGCACTGAACTTTTTTAACATGGCTGTACAAGTTCAAGGCGACGATATTGGCGCGCACATCAACGTAGGCAGAACTTACAATCACCTTAAAATGTTTAAAGAAGCCGAAGACGCATACTTAAAAGTAAATAGTACAGTTAAATCATATTTGTGAAGTTACTATATTACAAAAAAAAAATCCAATGGATCGTAATTCAAACATTGCTGTACTGATAGTCTACTTTTCATTCAGGCAAAATCCCTACTTCCGAAAGCAAAGCCTGGAGAGTCTTACCAAGCTCGTATAGCACCGAATCACTTGAATGTTTTTGTGAACTTAGCGAACTTAATAGCAAAGAATGCAACTAGGTTAGAAGAAGCTGATTTGCTTTATAGACAGGCGATTAGTATGCGCGCTGATTACACGCAGGCATATATTAATCGAGGCGATGTCTTAATTAAGCTTAATCGTACTAAAGAAGCCCAGGAAGTTTACGAACGGGCTCTTTTTTACGACAGTAATAATCCAGATATCTATTACAATGTAAGTATCTCAAATGTTGTATAAAGATATTGTAGGAAAATAGAAATTTACATAACGTTATTTCTCAAGCTGGGAGTTGTATTCTTGGAACAAGGAAAAGCATCCCAAGCTTTGGCGTATTTGGATAAAGCATTAGAATTCGATCCGGAACACGAGCAAGCTTTATTAAACTCAGCTATCTTACTTCAAGAATTAGGACGTGCGGAATTGCGAAAAGTAGCCAGAGAAAGACTCTTGAAATTGTTGAGAAAGGTATTCTCTATTTCTAGCTGTTCTTTTACTTAACTAATTTTTCAGATAATTTAACAGAATAGGTTTATCTTTAGGATTCCAATAACGAGAGAGTGCATTTCAATCTTGGAATGTTAGCCATGGATGATCACGATAATGGAAGCGCGGAACGATGGTTCCGAAATGCAGTTGCTTTAAAGGAAGATTTCCGGTCCGCGTTATTCAATTTGGCTCTGTTATTGGCAGATGAACAACGTCCCCTCGAGGCAGCACCGTTTTTAAATCAGCTAGTTAGATTTCATCCGGACCACGTTAAGGGATTAATTCTTTTAGGGGATATATATATTAACAACATAAAAGATTTGGATGCGGCCGAAAACGTAACGTTGAATGTTAATTTAACAATATCGTTTTATATGCTTGATAAAGTATAGAAGCATTAACACAAATTTTGAAATGTTTACAGTGTTACCGTAGAATACTGCAGTTGGATCCAACAAATATTCAAGGTCTACATAATTTGTGCGTTGTAATGGTGGAACGTGGAAAGTTAGGTTTGGCTGCTCAGTGTTTGGAACGGGCAGCAGCTTTGGCACCGCAGCAGGATTACGTGCACAGACACCTTGCTATTGTAAAGGCTCGCATCAGTAGGCTACCTTCGGATCAACGTGATACGGAAGTCTTCGACGATTCTTTCTGGCAGACTAGTCCGAAGGAGAGGAATTTTAATATGGGGGACATTTCAACTGGTAGCACCGGCGGCAGTTCAACCGCTCCTGGAGGTCCTGGAAATATGGTTAACAGTGGTAACCAGTTTCTGGGAAAAACAGATTCCGTGTTCTCGAATCATCACAATCACATAGGAAATAAGAAAAGCAGTGCTGATTCGTTGAATAATAATATAATCCACTTGAAGAGTCCGTCGAAACATGGAAGGATTCCACTGAATGAAATTAAATCAGACGCGAAGGAAATATATAACGATAAAACGAAACCTTCGAGTTCAAGCGGAAGCTCGAAAGACACGCAGAAACGTTCACCTGAAATAGGTTTCAGCGCGGACACGACGGAATTGACAATCGACCGAGAACGCGCAGGCAAAACGATTAATTCCGAGCAATTCGATCAAGTCGCGCCGATCTTTCCAACCGGCGGAAACCATACTGAAACCACACGTCAAGCTAAAGACACCGCGTTCTCATAGTGTTGACGTTACAATCCGCCGAATATTGTATAAAGTTATATTCTACGTATAACGAAAGAATATGGTGGTACAGCCGTATAGAGCTAATGTGTGAATATAAAATGAATACAGAGTATTGTTTTATATGCTGTACGAATAGAATGTTTTGTAAAATATATTTAAAAATGTGTATCTCTTTTCTTCTCTTTTTTTCTAGATCTTCCGCATGAATTGAAATTCATTCTTGCTAAATAACATCTTTAGGAACGAACGAATCGAATGTCGAATGTACTTAAAGGCATGCTTCTTTATGTTTTTATTTCGCTTACCGTTAAACGTGCACAGCAATATTAGCAATAAGCAAGCAATAACGGATAACGAATTGGCACGCTAATGTCAGAAATACGATTGCTCCTCGGTAAGAAAAAAAATAGAACCAAATAAAGCTGATGTACTGATACATAATATGGGAAGGGGGCGGGAGGATGGTGCTGCGAAGCGTGTATTTTACAAGTTGTTGTCAATTTAAAACGGAACAGAACGGTTTCAGTCGCTGGAGGATTTAGTTTCGAATGTGTGCTCCCTCGACATACGTCTTATTCCCGTTTTCCGTTCTCTTCGTCGCTACGAAATTGTCGAAAGTGTTGAAAACTGTGTATGCACGTACGTAGTGTACAGAAAATATTTAACGTAAAATTACACCGCGTGTGATGAAATGTACTCAAATTTAGAGAATAGGAGAATGATTATCGCTGACTGATCCGTATACGTTTCGTTATACTTAATTATGAACGAACGAACGTTTTTAATTGTGCCGATAAACCGAATGAAATGAAGACTAACAAGAGGAAAAAGAACGAGGCGATGCCACGGGGTTTCTTAGTTTTGGTGTTCGCGTAATTTTCGTTATGGAAGTTCAAACAGTTCTGTTTAAATGAACATCGAATACTAAATTCGCCTATACGTACCACGATAATCATCGACAAGAAGATCCATTTACATTTTTAGTACCCCTTTACGTTCAAGAGGAAGTAAACGTCGAATCTCCTCGAGTAACCGGATCGAAACTGGTCTTGATCGATCATTTTCCGGATCAATGGGATAAGTAAAGAGTATGGACCATTAAGACAACGAACAAATTGATTCGATTGCATCGCGAAACGTTAAGGGAACATTTGAAAGAAGCCGAGGAAATCTGTAAAGAAGATTTCGTTGTTACTTGAAAAGAATGCAAACAATCGAA